TTAGGGGCATGATTTGGGGGCTTTGAAGCAAGTTTGCAACTCTCCCCATTTCCTCCTGGGTCTAGAGCTGCCTAACCCTCTCAAGAAGTTTAGGAACTGTTTTGTCCTGCCCTGCCCTTTAATTTCAGCACGTATCAAGGGCCTCAGCTCTTGTGGCATGGGAAAGGAGCAGAACCACAGCCCAGTGTTCCTCTGCTTCCTTCAGGGGGAGGGCTGTAGAGGGTGGGCCTGCATTCCGCAGATGAGAGCACTGTGGCCAGCTTCCAGCACCCTACCTCCACCCAGCCTTGTGCTTTCTCTGCAGGGTGCCTGTTCTGCCTCAGGGCTGTAGCCTCAATGCCACCTGCAAGGATGGCACCCCTTGTGAGGGTGGACCTCTAGGCACCAACTGCAGCTGCCGGGAAGGCTTTGTTGGCCTGAGGTGGGTCTGGGGACCAGGGTCCTGGAAGGTTGACTGGGAGGTTGCCCCTGGATTTCCCAGCCTGGGCAAGGGAAATGGAGTCTTTCTTGTCTTGGTTCTTCTGGGACTTCCAAGACCACTGTCTCTTAGATGTCAGCAGGACAGTGGTTGTCTAGCCAATTCTTCCTTCCTTCCTTCCTTCTATTTTTCCTTCCTTCCTTCTTTCTTTTTTTCTTTTTTTGGACAGGGATTCTCTGTGTAGTCCTGACTATCCTGGAACTCACTCTTTAGACCAGGCTGGTTTTGAACTCAGAGATTCACCTGTCTCTGCCTCCCAAGTGCTGGGATTAAAGGCGTGCGCCGCCGCCGCCACCGCCGCCGCCGCCGCCGCCGCCGCCGCCGCCGCCGCCGCCGCCACCCAGCCCTCCTAGTTTCTTAAAGCCCTTTGGTCCTCAGTGGACATGGCCCAAATTTAACTTCTGGGCCTCCAAGAGGTGCAGCTGGCATCCCTCCCTGCCATGTGCTCTTCCTCACGTTCATGGAGTAGGAGCCCTTCTCAGTCATGAACATTGGGCCCCAGGGGAGTGGATAGGTGACAGAAATCATCTTCAGCTCTGGTCACTTGGCAGAACTCAGCCATGCTGGAACAGTGGCTGGATAGGCTTTGATGCTTGGGTGGAGGTGGCTTCCTCAGCCTCTGTCTCTTCCAGGTGTCAGAGTCCTGACCTACCCTGTGAAGCCAACCCTTGCTTGAATGGAGGCACCTGCCGGGCAGTCAGTGGCATATCTGAATGTACTTGCAATGCAGGATTCTCTGGCCAGTTCTGTGAAGTGGTGGTGAGTGGTACCTAGGGGTGGGCTGCCAAGCCTATTTGGACCTTAGCAAGAGTCAGTGGACAGGGAGGGTATGGTCTTTGTGGACTTGGCACTGGACGAGCTTTGCTGAGGGTGGGGGGGACGGCCCCATGAAGGATGTATTTTCACTTCAGGGAGAGCTTGGGGAGCCCACCAGCCATTAGGCACAGTCTGGGGCTTCCAGGTGGTATCTAGGGTAGTGGCAGTGGGGTAGGTTGGGACTGGCTTCTGAGCCCACAGGACCATGGGGCTTATAGTCTCCTTGAGTTCCAAGCAGTTTCTGAAGCAGATCCAGCACTGCAGGTATCCCTGCCCCAAGAAGTCTCAGCTGACAGAGCACTGGACCTGTGGGGAGCAGCACCAAGCCTTGGAGAGGCTCTGAGGCCACAGTGGGTGCCGATAAACGGTTTTCTGGAAGGGCAGTCCGGGGAGTGCCTTGATTCAAGGAGGCTCCCAGAAGGCTGGTTGTAAGCCAGGAGTCCCTTTTGCTTCTGGGAAGTGTTCCTTTCAAGTTGAACTTTTACAGGCTTTGCTTCCCCACCTACACACTATATACCATCCCCCACCCGCCCAGGGAAAGGAAATGGCTTTACAGCTCCTGCTGAAGTGATAGAGAGGGGGAAGGTGTGAACTTTATAGTTTTGGGGCTCCCTTCTCCAGGTGTGAATGCTGGGTGGGGGTGGGGATGCAGGTGACCGGAGGCTGAGAAACAAACCTCAGGGGAGACGGTGAGTCTGGATTGCGGGGATTCTGATTCCAGGACTTAAGAGTTCTAAGTATGAGGAATCTTTGATGGGTCACTGCAGGACTGGAGATGGGGAACGCTGCCCTCACCCCCAAACCAGGCTCAAGTCTGCCAGGGACAGGCTGCCAGAGCAACCCCTTGCAAGCCGGCAGCAGCAATCGTGAAGTCTCTCATCAGTGGGCTCTGCTTTCTGCTCCTGCTTTACTTCAGCTGACTGTTGTTGAATTTTGTGACACCCCCTAACTCCCACAAGCACTCCTGGAATGTCTCCTGTCTACCCTCCTAGCCAGGGCTAGGCAGCACCCCTAGGTTGGCCTGGACAGGTGGCTTCCTGGCTCCTGCCTGCACACCCAGGGGCTGCCTCTCTCACCGACTCTGGGAAGCCTACTTGTCTGAATCTTTTTGTCTCTCATCTCTTGCAGAAAAGCCTGCCTCTGCCCCTGCCATTCCCGCTGCTGGAGGTAGCAGTGCCTGCAGCCTGTGCCTGCCTCCTCCTCCTCCTCCTGGGCCTCCTCTCAGGGATCCTGGCTGCGAGAAAGCGCCGCCAGTCTGAGGGCACCTACAGCCCAAGTCAGCAGGAGGTGGCAGGGGCTCGTCTGGAGATGGACAGTGTCCTCAAGGTGCCACCAGAGGAAAGACTTATCTAGGCTGGTCTGGCTGCTGGTGCCATGCCCTAAAGGTCCTACAGGATCACTGCAGAACCTCTACCTGGAGGCTGGATGAGACTATTTCCAGAGCTAGGACACCCACAGGATGTGCCACCATGGTTGGCAACCCTTGCCCCTGTCCATCATGGAGTCAGAAAACGGGGAACAACTCAGGGAAGCGGAGGAGGCTGTGGGGTACGAATGTCTCTGACCTGCTGGGCTGTGTATAGGAGGGTACGTGTGGGTACCCCTGGTATGACTGACAGGTGCATGTGTGTATATCATTCTGTTTGGAGGAGAGAGAAGACATGAGAAGAGAGTGGAGGGAGGGAGGGAGGGAGGGAGGGAGGGAGGGAGGGAGGGAGGGAGGGAGGGAGGGAGGGAGGGAGGGAGAGAGAGAGAGAGAGAGAGAGAGAGAGAGAGAGAGAGAGAGAGAGAGAGAATGAATGTGGGATGTGTTGCACATTGTACTGTGTTGTGACAGGGTGTGTGGGCATGCCCTGAGAGTGTCTACATGACTGTAGTGTGGCAAGTGATTTCACAGGGGAAGTGGCTGCTTCATGGCTGGGGACAACCAGGATGCCTCTGAGACAGGGGAAGCCCAAGGCTGCACGCTCTCTAGCACTGGACAGGCCAGAGCTTGCCCAAACTCCTAGACTTTGGTCTTGACATCTTGTCCAACCTCCAAGGACAGCCTTTGTCCCAGAGAAGCTGGGGAATAGGGGGGCTTCTTGGCTTCCAGAACAAAAGCCCTTTTGGGCAGATCTGATGGACAGTGCCATGGCTAATACCACCGTGTCTGTAGGGCAGGCCTGCGGGAATCAAGGAACAGCTGCTCTTGGCTGTCCTGCCTGCTGTGGGCATCTGCAGGGCATGGAGCAACCTTTCTGCCCACCTCACAGGGCTATTCTGAGGATCCGAGACACAAACAGGCAGAAACTCCAGAAGCTGTTTAAACTCCATCTGATGGAAAAGACTAGCTGCCCTTTTGAGTACTGGAAAGTGCCTCACCTGCCTACAGCCGAAGGGGCTTCCTGGAACCCTCGCAAGGCCAGAGGGCAGAGTGGAGATGCTCTTCTGTCCCTGCAGCTCTGTGGTTCTGCAGCACAGGCTGACCTATTGCCTGCAGTTCCATTGTCTGTGTATGGCTGTTAACTGAGGGAAAGCATGCCAAGGAAGGCCTCAATTGTGTGCCCACTAGTGCTTGGCAGATGCACATCAGCAGCTACTGCACTGGTGCTCAGGCTGCAGGATTACATCCTGTGGCTACACACTCAAGTGCACTTGACTTCTGACCCCACCCCTAGAGGGTGCTGGCCTGCAGATCCAGCCTCCTTTGGACTTCCCAGAGCCCTCTGTCCTCCCTGCTGACCAGGCCAGTGCCTCCTAACTGGGGGCTCCATGTGCAAATGCCAGGGGACTTTTACACAGGAAGCTGGATGTCTCAGGTTTCAGTCACCTCCAGAAGGCACAGACTCGGGGGCACTGGGGTTCAGTAGAAGCTTTGATGAGACCCTGGATGTTGAGAGGCCTGCTTGGTCCTTACCCTGTAGCGGTGGGACCAACTTGCCCCTAGCTGTCTTGGTGTCCCTTGGAAGAGGGGAGGGGAAATGGGTGAACTGTTCCAGTTGCCAGATCCTAAGATGTTTCCTGCAGGACGCCAACAACGAGACATTCCAGTATCACCAGTGTGGACTGCACAGTGTCCACTTGCGGGTAGAGGCGGTCTTGGGGCAGTCTGGGGAGGGTGGAACTTGCTCCTTCCTGTAGTCCTGCCCACCTGCCCATCCCCAGTTCCCTCCCTGGCAGGGAAGGGGCAAGCCGCTGGTGAAGATGGCCAAGTGCCTGCTCAGGCTTCCTCTCACTCGAAGGACTCAGGACCACAGCCTTCTCCCCAACTGAATACACAGTTTATCACTGGGTTCTCAAATTCTACCCAGTGAATGGACAGATTAAGTGAATGTGTGCACCAGCCCCTAGTGGACCGACCGTAGGTGTGTGTGGCTTCCCATGCTGCTTGACACCTTGTTACTGGGCTGGCCCACTGGGGTGGGATTTGGAATTTTCTGGGATGGAAGAAGTGGAACTGAGACCTGTCCAGGAACACAAATGCCAGGAGGGTCCCCATGACTCAGCTCCCCAGCAGTTGAGCGCCCCCCCCAAGACAGAGCCCTAAGGAGGGGTGCATTTCAGGCCTAGGCCTCAGGGACCCATGAGCAACCTCTTAGACAGAGAGGGTTCCCTAGAATGACAGGGTTCCTGTCAGAACCCCTGGGGTAGGCTGTCTGAGCATTCACACATAGGAAATGAGACATCAGGTCAAATGTGCACAATTTCCTGCATGTCTCTGATGGATGTTTTCTTAAAGGTTTATTGAAAGGAATCAATTTTTAAGATTCATCAAATCAATAAGGTAAGAAGGAAAAGCAAGATCAAAGAAACAATAACAAAACATTTCATTATAACTTTGGTGACTTGGCCTCAGGAATTTCTGCACTAACGAGAAGCTGGAGATGGCAGGGAAGGCTGGCTTCCAGGCCCCCACTTTCCCCAGGATTAGAGGCCATATTTATTCACTCCATGGGGAATCTGGGGGGCCCTAAGGCCCCACCTCATCCTGACCTAGGAGCCCAAACAGCTGTGCCTCCCCCTTTGTGGCAGGAAGCTTGTCCTTTGAGTTGGAATCTGGGTCACTGGTGCCCAGCTCTGCCCATAAAGCTCCAAGTGGCAGGAGGCTGAGCCTGAGCTTTGACTGGCTTGAGAGCCCAGAGGATGGGGGTGGCAGTGAGCTGAAGGCCAACACTCAGATTTGTGGGTTTCTCCTATAAATCGGAGTTGCTGGTGTTCCCAAGCCCTGTAAGGGCTGGCTGGAGCTGGGTTTGGAGCTTGGGTCCCCAGACCCCTCACCCCCAGGAACAACTCTGGTTTGGTGGTTAGGAAAGAGTATATTGCTAGAGAAGTTTGGAGACACCCATCAAGGAGAAATGCCAGCCCAGGAGTGGTCACTTCAGCCCCCCAAATACCTGTGTTCCCCAATGCTGTGCTCACATGGGTGTTACTAACATGGGCCCTGTGGGGCACGGCCTGGCGGAGGAGGAGAGCTGGGCTTGAGAGAGGCCTTGAGCTTCCTGGCTCCTCTTGGGCTACTGGAGGGACGCGGTAGGACACGGGTGGCCCAGTTGACCTCTAGTGCAAACTTGATACAGGGTGCCAAGGAGAGTGACAGGCGGCTCTCTTGGGATGGTACCATTCCCAGGACCAGACCTCAGAGATGGGCTGTGGAGGAGAGGGGGCAGAGAGTCCCTTTGCCCCAGTGGAACCTGGTCAGAAATGGGACATAGGGAGGCACAGTACTGGATGGTGGCACAGGCCTGCTCACTCGAAGGTCTCCCACTGCCTGCGGAGCTGCTCCACAGAGGTGGGGGCTGGGGCTGAGCTCGGGCTCACATCTTGCTTGGTTTTTCGTAGCAAATCCTCAAAGGGGTCTCTGGCCTGTGCAGGAGCAGAGGGCTGCAGGGCTGGCTCTAGACCCTGGGGAGCTCTAGGAGGCAGCAGTGGGGGTTCACCAGGCCTCAGGGCCGGCCCCTGCTTGGCCTCAGCAGCCCTAGCACTTGAGCGGGCCAGAGGCAATGTTCGGATCCTGGAGGGGGCAACAGCTGGGGGGCCAAGTGGCTGCAGGGGACTAGTGTGGGCACCCATGGGGATCTGGCCAAAGAGGTTGGGCATGGAGAGGGCAGACAGGTTGGGCTGAGACCTGTGAGGGGCATAGAAGCCAGAACCAGACAATAGGATGCTAGGTGCATATGCCGGCCTCAGGGATGCTGGAGGAGTCCCAAAAGGCCTGGCTGGTGTGGAGCCCAGGGGCGTGGTAGGCAGTGCTACTGGCACAGATGGGACAAAGGGATTGAGTGGCGGTTGTGCAAAAGGGGTGGGTGTCACTGTGTGGGGGAGGCTGAGCTGGGCGGTGAATGGGGCAGCCACACTGGGAGTGGCAGGATGTGGTGGGATGGTGCTACCTGACCAGGCTGTGTTAAGTGGGTCCAGGAGGGCAAGCAGGGCATCACTGCCTGTGCTTGCAGCTCCCGGGGCTGGGCTGAGTGGCTGCAGAAGTTCTGTGGGGCCTTGAGGGACAGCACTGGGGAGCAGCCCTGGCAGTAGGGCTGGGCTCAGGGCAGCTTGTCTTTGCCGGTCCATCTGAAGCCGCTCGGAAGAGAAGTCACCAAGTGGGCCACCAGCAGCCTGCAGCTTGGCTGTGCGGGCAGTGGGTGGTGGAGGTACGATGCCCAGCTCAGGGGTCTTCCTGCCTTGCGGCCGGGGAATGGTGATGCTGCCTGGAGTTTGGGTGGGAGCTTCCTCCTTGATGCTGGGGCTCAGGATGCCATCCTGGTTCTGCGGTTTGTGAGGCAGGGCTGGGGAAGTACCAAACAGAGCTGAGGGCTTCTCAGGGGAGGTGGTGGAAGGCTTGCTGGGGATGGCCATGTCGTCCTGACCCAGACTCCAGAGCTTAGTATATGGATGAGCAAGCTTCAAAGCTGCAGCCATGCTAAGGCCCCTCTCGCTTCTGCACAGGTCCAGCCTCTGTGGGGAAGGAGGGAGGGAGTGATGACCACAGGCTGGCCCAGGCAACAGCAGAAAGTACATGCCCATTCCCAACCCTTCCTGCATGCCAGGCACATGGCTCCTGGGACCAGGAGGAGTTGCAGGTACCCAGGACACCTGCAGAGACCCAGGCCTATCTGGACTCCAAGTTCAGACCTGTCCCACAAAGGGAATCCAGAGGAATCTCTTGTCTTTTTACAAAAGCCTCTGCTTGACAAATAGTTTCAGGAAAATGTCTCCATCTATGGGACACCTAACAATGGCTTGGGCATTTTTGCTGTTTAGAGATTGTGGTATCTTTCATCACCCTCAAAATGGCTAGTGTGGCTCCAGGCCCGGCTGAAGGCACACGGACCAGAAGAAAGGAGACTGGGTTTGAGTCCTGACTCTGCCTGCCACTTGTGGGCCATTTGACCTGGGCAAGTCACTTCTCTCGACTTATGCGGCTTCATTCCCAGCAGGTGGGAAAATCTGTGGACCCCAGAGAGGGGAGGTGACTGATGGTCACACTGAGAGAACCAATCTAGAGCCCAGTTTGATCCAAGGAGCCCTGTAGCAGCAGCCCGACCTCTGAGATAAGAACAGAGGCAGGCAGACACCCCTGCTCTGCTAGCATCACCCCCCTTGATCGCTGGTGGCATAATGAGCTTCTTGCGATGGGGTGGGGTTGGAGTATTGACTTAAGACAGGGTAAGGAGTAGGGGTGGTGGAGTGGTGTTCCCCTGACCCCTTCCACTGTGACTCAAAGGACCTACCTTAGGAGCAGGAGGTACCCCACCAGCTACTGCGCTCTACCCCCACCATACCTGGTAGTCGAAGCTCCCTGGCTGTTCCCGAAAGTCTTTGGGGGCCCGGAGGTCCTCCAAGCTCTTGGCTTGGCCCAGTGGCTGCAGTGGTGCCTCCATGTCTAGGCTGCTGAAGACATCTTCTAGAAGGTCACTGCTGGCAGCTCGGTCAGGTGGGGCAGGGCTAGGTCCCCGGGGCCCCCGCACTAACTGCTCTGGACTCTCCTTCTCGTCGCCGTCTGCGCTGTCTGACTCTCTCAACGTCCGGTATGGCTGTGGCCTGGGAGGAGACAGAGCCAGCTGGATTTTCCTCCAAGCAATCTATGAGAGGAGCAAATGGCCCTAGCCCCTGACCACGCCCAGGTCCAAGGACCAATGTTTTGCCATTCTTTGGGGGCTGGATTGGGTCTTGGTGCATGCTTGGTGCCCTGGGCAGGATGCTGTGGCTCTCACTTGCTCTGGGGAGATCCTGAAGTGCCCCAGGGCCCAGGGTCTTTGTATGTAACACATACAAACCAGGTAGGACTGGAGGGGCATTTGCAGGTGGGCACATGTATTCCTTTGTCCCATCTGCTTCCTGTATATATAGTGACCAGTCTTCCTGAGAGTCAGGTCCAGAGCATGGCTAGCCAGAAGCCCTGGTTCCATCTCTTGCCATGGGAACCTGGGCAAGTCACTTGACCTTGTGGACCTCAGCTGAGTGTTGGTGTGGTTCCATGAACAAGTACAGAGGGTATGCAGAGGCTGGTGACAACCACCCATGGCTGCCACCTGCGCTCTATGCGTTCTGTGTATCCGCAGACCATGACCTTGTGGGTGAGCGGGGTGTAACAGCTGGTTCCTTTTGCTCTCCCCTGAGCCTCCGGGCACCACGGATCTGTTGGGAGGCAGTGCCTGCCCTGCCCTCAGTGAGGTTAGCTGGCGCAGTGCCTCCCCCCCTAGGGTCAGGCTGGCTATGCACATGGTGCTGGTGAAGCGGTGGAGGGCTCCATCTGCTGGGTACATGCAGGCTGACACCTAAGGCCCACTGAAAGATTAAAGGGAGACAGTCCCAGCTGTCTGGGACTTAAACCCTACTTTATAGTTGAGGAAACTGAAGCTCAGAGAAGTTTAGTAACTCACTCTGTGCTTCACAGCACCTAGTAAGGGGTAGAATGGGAGCCAAGTTCAAAAGTCTCCACAGTCCTTCCAAAGTCTGACCAAGGAACTCAAGAACCTTTCATCTAATGTGAGCACAGTGCAAGGGAGGAGGAGGAGTCCTACTTCCCAAACACGAGGGAATAGCTGTTTTAACCCTTTGTGTTGTGAATTAGAATGGAACAGCTCCCCTGTAAACACACAGGAGGCCCTGAACTGGCTCTAGGCCCAGGATAAAAAAGGGAATTTTAACCACTGCTTAAATAAGGAAACACTGGGCTGCCTATGTCTCAGTGCCTGCGCTTGTCCAACATGTAAGGACCTGGGTTCCATTCCAGAACCATGAAAGGGAGTAAAAGCATCAGTCAATCATTTAATTCGGAGGCTCTAGACAGTCACAAGGGAGGGAGAGGGACCCAAGCAGACGGCTTTTCCTGACTTGAGGCCGACTCAGATGAGCATGTATTCTTTCAATAGCTTTCTCTGTTCTAACTAGTAATAGTTACATCAGCGGATACATTAGATCTGTGATCGCACAGACATTACTGCTGTGGAAAAGCTGATTCTTCAAATATTGAAAAGGACCAAAGAGGCGGTGGTGGCACACGCCTTTAATCCCAGCACTCGGGAGGCAGAGCCAGGCGGATCTCTGTGAGTTTGAGGCCAGCCTGGGCTACCAAGTGAGTTCTAGGACAGCCAAGGCTACACAGAGAAACCCTGTCTCAAAAAAACAAAACAAAACAAAAAAGATGAAAGACAGTAATCTATTTGCCAGTTGTGGTGGCACATGCTGGTAGGATTTGCTGAAGGAGGCAGAGGCAGGAGGATCATGAATTCGAGGCCAGCCTGGGCTACACATTAAAAAAAGAAAAGAAAAGAAAAGAAAAGGACCAAAGAGAAAGAATGAATATACTGCAGAGGTGTGTGTGCAGCTCAGGTATCTTGGACTAAGGGGTGGGGGTACTGCCATCATCCCAGTGATCTGGCAGCACGGAAGGAACGTGTGTGTGTGTGTGTGTGTGTGTGTGTGTGTGTGTGTGTGTGTGTGTGTGTGTGTGTGTGTGCGTGCGCGCGTGCGCGCGCGTGCAACCTTGGACTCAGAAGTCCGGGTTGAAGCCACAGGGAGAAGACCTGATGTTGGGCACTTGAGGTTAGAGAACAGAGGGGTGGGAAGGTCTAGGGGTGGAGGTGGAGGGAGACAAGACCCTGGATGTGAAGGGCCAGCAGCTAGCACTGTGGTGGGTTGTAGGCACATCCTGAGGCTCCTAGGAAGAACATTTTTAAGGTGAGCTTTCTTTTCCTTTTAAAAAATTGTTGTTTGTAATTTGTATGCGGCTTAGGTTATAACATAATTAAGATATTAATCTTAAGAAACCCAGGTAGACCATAACATATAAACACACATACCACACACACATTTTTTTCTGAGACAGGGTCTTGTATAGAGCTCAGACTGGCCTGGAACTTGCTATGCAGCTCAGGCTAGCCTCAAACTCATGGTCCTTCTACCTTAGTTGCAGGTGTGCATCATCACGCGTGGCTGGCATGCTGGCATTAACATGCGTTTCATGTAACTCAAGTTGGCTTTTACCTGACATCTGCCTTCCTGTCTCCACAGCTTTCTACGGTGCACTGAGAAATGGATGACCACAGTCAGGCTTACTGTGGCTGCCAGTTCCATTAAACACATGGTTTCCCCTTGTAAGAAAAGGGGCTGGTGCTTCCATCTCACCTGTCACCTTTGTTGTCACAGCCTTGTGGGGCTGGCACAACAGGAGCCTGAGACAAGGCCTGTAGACAGGCACACACCCTGCAAATTGGCACCCAGGAACTTTTCTCCCCATGGCAGCAAGCAGCTCCAGCTCCCCCCCCCCCCCCCGCCCCATACTCCCCCCCCCTGCACCCAAAGAGTCACCAGGCTGAGCCCAAGGAACTGGAAGGAGGAAGAGAGACCATTCAAAGGGAGCAGAGAAGAAAAAGCTTTCAGTGAAGCCGGTGCTCGGGGCCTCTTCCCGTCGGCATTCCTCATCAGAGGAGTCTTCAGAGAGAAAGACAGCATAGTGTCGGAAGGGCTTTACCAGGCTGGACAAGAGAGAAGAGAAGAGGCAGTCAGGGCACCACGAGGGCACAGGATGGAAAGAAGCCCCAGAGCACCCACTGGGGTATGGAGGCTGGCTCCAAGCAGAGAGGAGGCTGCGTATGCCATGTGCTTCAAGAGCCTGGAACTCTCATCCAGGCTTGTCTGACCTGATTACCCACTTCCAGTAAGTTAACCCTAAATGAACCATGACTCAGGCCCAGAGACACCTACTGCTCTCAGGGTGTTGCTGGCTGAACACTCCCTTCCCATCACATGTAATGCCAAAGAAGAAAATTTTAAACCATGACACAGTTGCTATTTTTATGATTGGCCTCCCCAAATCTGGAGACTCCATCTCTACAGAGTCAATCAGCTATGAGCTGAAAATGTTTAGGTGGCTGCCGGGCGGTGGTAGCGCATGCCTTTAATCCCAGCACTCGGGAAGCAGAGCCAGGTGGATCTCTGTGAGTTTTAGGCCAGCCTGGTCTACAGAGCAAGATCTAGGACAGGCCCCAAAACTACATGGAGAAACCCTGTCTTGAAAAACCAAACCAAACCAAATCAGACCAAACAAAACCAAAACCAAACCAAACCACAACAACAACAACAAAAAAAAAGAAAGAAAGAAAGAAAGAAAGAAAGAAAGAAAGGAAAAGAAAAGTTTAGGCGGTGGTGGCACACACGTTTAACCCCAGCACTCAGGAGGCAGAGGCAGGTGGATCTCTGTGAGTTTTAGGCCAGTCTGGTCTACAGAGTGAGTCCCAGGACAGCCAAGGCAACACAGAGAAACCTTGTCTTGCAAAACAAAACAACCAACCAACCAACCAAATGAAGAATATGTTTGGGAAAACTTGCATCTGTACTGAGCATGTGCAGTCCATTCCCATCATTATGTTATTCCCCCAATTCAGCTCAACAGCTATCTATATAGCATGTACACTAGATTAGCTATAAAAAGTAACCTAGAGGTAATCTAAATTATATAGGAGAGTATGTGGGGTTCTCTGCAAACACCATTCCATTTCACAGAACAGGCATGAACACCCTGGATTTCAGCATCTGAGACTGGTCCCCTGAGGATACTGTAGCCCCTCAGCTGCTTGTGGACAACTGCACGAGAGCAAGACTGGAGAAGTGCTTAGATTCCAGTAACGGCAGGATTATGGGATTGTGGGTGACTCCACTTCCTGCTTCCTTTTCTTTCTCTGTAGCATGCATATCTCTACTTCAATAATAGGGGAAAAGTTAAGGAACCAGTGAGTTACATGGAAGCAAGCCCTGAGAAGACACGTTTCTGATGAGCTGCCCTCTCTGGAGTCTGTCTCACATGCTTCTTCAGAGAGTCTTTTTCATCTGTGATATGGAAATTAAATATTCATTGTTATAAAAAATGTATCTCCCTTGTCAGCCACCTGCACTCTAGCTCTATAAACAAATACACACAGCCCAGAGAGTCCACACCTGGCCCCTAGCAATTATGTACAGACCAGCAGTGCCCATGAGAGGCCACAGGCTCAGGAGAAGAGAGCCCAAACTATGGCAGGTTCAAATCCTGGCCCACCACGGATGCTGTTGCAGCTAACTCTGCCCTATCAGCAGCTGGGCTTACTGTGAAGATCCCCAAGAGGCAACAGTGAAGGTTTGGGGAGACAGGGAGGAGACACAGGCTATGAGGAGGGCTCTGCTCTCACAGCAGCCTTTCTGCACTTTCTAGGCTGGAATTCCTTTCAGGTTTTATTTAGGGGAGGGCCCTGGGGTGGCCAGTGCTGTGGTCCCCATTGCTAGAGATAACCTCCAGAGCCACCCACAAGCTCAGCACTTCAGCTGTGCATCCTCGCTTCCCCCTTGTCCCTACAGGCTGGCCATTAGTTTTGTCCTCAGACTTCAGTGGAGGTTGTGGCTTCCTGGGTCATGCACTAGGAGGTGGCGGGGCTACAGGCTCTGCTGGCCTCCACTCCAGGTGGCCGGATACCTAGGAGGAGACACCTCTGCTCTTCGCTCTTCGACAGCTGGAGAAGGACTGGGGGCAGAAGTCGCTGACCTGGCGTAAGACCAGGTCCCTGTTGCTTTCCCAGTCAGCGAGGCCGAGTAGATGGGGGAGGAGAAACACTCAGATGCTGGGGTAACCTGCTTGCTCTATTATCCTGATCTCTCTATTGCCCCCACACTCTCTATTGCCCCCCTCTCTCTCTACTGCCCCTGCTCTCTAGCATGGGGTGGCTTCCAGCTGGTGCAAGGCAGCAAGCCCAGCATTTTTACTCCACTCTGGGCAGCTTGAGGTGAATGCTGGGTATTGGTGGGTTGCAGGATCAAGCCCTGAGGTCCCTTCCCACCACTGCCCCACTTCAGCTGCAGAGAACTATCTCAAGCTGACATCCTTTGCCACTCAGCTTTTGTGCCTGTCTATCCCCAGCACACAGACTGTTCTTTCATCTTGAAGACCTGACCCAAATGTCATCCCTAGGATGTCCCTAAATGTCATCCCAAATGTTTCCAACTCTCCCTGGCTGTGGGTGGGTCTTGGTGCATCATAGTTCCCAGCTATTCTGCAGTTCTGTTCCTGACTGAGCTCGAGGTCAGGGTTCTGGCCCCCATTAGTGGTTGAAAGGATGAGAGCTGGCATGCTTGGGATCCCCTCCTCCTCCTCCTTCTGGAACACCTAATCCTTCACACAGACCTTTCCATTACTTTAGAGCTCTGACAGATGTGCCCTTCTTTGGATCCCTCCCTGCCCTCTGAGATGCTTACACATGGAGTCTACAGGACCCAGGGCAGAAACCTCAAGATAGGGTTCAGATTAATGCCACAGCACTGGGAGAGCCCTGGTGTGCTGTGATGTCCATGCTGGAGGTAACCTGTTACCTGAAGTGGCTCTGAGCACAGCAACCTAGCATGCAGAACCAGAACACAAGCTTTATGGAGTCCATCCGTCTAGCCATCTCCCGATTTGTCTGAGCACCTGTCTACCCAAGGGCCACTTCCTGCCTGTGCATAAGCAGATCTAGTGCTGGCCAGGCACTGGGGATTACTGAGGAAGGACAGAGAAGTGAGCAAATAACCACTCCAGGAAGCAACTCGGGGGTCTGAGCTCAGGCTGCCCTGAGACTGTGGACAGACACAAGACAACATAAACCCCTACCTGGGTCACATAGAACTAAGTGCTTGGTGACCCTCAGATGCACTGTGAATGTCTGACAATCATGTAAAGCGTGGGCCTCTTCCCTGGCACAGATCACATGGTGGCTGACCGCCACTAAGTCTGTCACATCCAAAGAGAGCCGAGAGCCTTTGTCCTGGGCAGGACTGTGGTGCCATTAAAGTCCTGCAGTGCAGGGCTCTGACACCCAGGGCCTCCCACAAACTACAAATGCAGGAGAGGGAGCCCTACTTCGACCAGCTGGCTCTGTATGCCAGGCCGGCTTGGGTGCTCAGAGCACACCATTGCTTCTTGAGTGACAGGGCACTGGGGTGAAATGTGCCAAGTGATTTGGTCAATCAGAGCTTTGTCATGTCCAGGCCACATGGATGGTGATAACTCATCAAAGAACTCACATGCTGTCCGTAGTTTCTTACTAATTCTTCATGACAAAGAGGCCAAAGCTCAGAGAGGGCGAGTCTCTTGCCTGGGGTCACACAGCAGTTAAAGGTGGGGCTGGAATGGCATCTGGATTTGCCTGTCTCTAAACACCACAGGGTCCTGCCACCTGTTTCCTGAAACAATGAACTGAGAGGTAGGGGGTTTCCCCTTCCACTTTTAATGAAAGGTGAGGTTTCAAAATAAACTTATTTAAATTCAGGGCTCATGCTCTCCCATGAAAGATACAGTCAGATATTTGTCAGGGATAAAGGATGAACCATCGAAAACGTCCAGGCTTAAATTTTTTATTAGCTTAAGGCAGAATATAAAAAAATGTACCTCTTCCCTCATTAACCCAATTCAGCTACTACCCTGCAGTCTGCCCCCCACCATTTGCCTGGATTTTATTACACACAAAGGGGCTGTCTGGGAAAAGGCAGGCCTGGCTGAACTTGGCTATCCAGCAAAGACTGTGATGTCATGGCACAAGAGAAAGGCTCTGTCCATCATGGCTTGGACCTATCATCCCCTGCTGCCCCTGCCCCGTCCACCACCCTGCAGTGCAGCTCCCATGTGGATGACTCCTGAGCCCTTTCTAATGTTTGGTTTAACGTGTCGCTGGTTAGAGCGTGTGTGTGACAGTGGTGACAGGCGAGGCTGTTCCTTTTTAAATACCATGTCAGAGACACGGCGTCAGGAAGCCGGGATGTGCTCCGTGCTCTCTGCTGCTCCAGGATCGCGCTGGCTTATTTTTTAATGAGGAAGATCTACATCTCGAGTTTTTTTATGTGTCACATTGCATGGACAAATCAGCCGCACGTCACGCTGGCCCGAAATGAAGTGCTGACAAATGTAGATGTTTCAAATTTAATTGACATTTAAATGCACTTGAGATAAAGATGGGAGGAAATCAGCCAGGCCTTGGTCTCCCGAGGTAATGAAGGGACACCGTGATCATTTTAGAAGAATCATTTCACTCCAGCACAAAGGGTCTTCACTTTGTAAATGGCCTGGCTACTTTTGTCCCTTGCTGACACAGCCCTGGTGGGGTAACGTGTGTAGGCACCAGAGAAGGCCAGCTTGTGCACTTTCTATCTCCTTTCCCTTTCTTTCTGGACACCTTGGCAAAGTCACTTTACCTTCTTGGACCTTGAGTTCTCTGCAAATGGAGATGCTGCTGCCTTCCCGAAGGTCTGAGCAGAGAAGTAAAATATTCACCAAGGGCTTTGCATGGTGCCTAGCAAGTACTGACTCCTCAAATCCTCAGCTGCTGTCCAATGCCCCTTCACAGGGTGATGCCAGGCACCTGTATCCTGGTCAGGGATGAAGAGGTGGTTGCCACCTTCCAAGTGAGTGATTCTCTGTTGGCTCTATCTCAGCACTTGGGTGTCATCCAGCCAGCCTTAGAGTTTCCACATCTTTCCA